TCTGAATGTGAAGTCATTTATGAAGTCCTTTACAACATGCAGTCAAAGAGGTTAATTGAAAAATTTCTTAATGTCATTATGAAAGAACTAGATTAACCCAAGTTAATTCACTTTATTGTTCAAAATAAAGAGGAATAAGCATTGAACTCACTTGCAAATTTGGGGCATGAATTAGGGGTGAGATGTTGTCTTTAAGGACTCTGCCAGTTTAATTAAGATATGGAAAATTACTTATTGTTCTTCACCACTAAAGTGCTAGGAATTAACAGCCAAATGTGATGCCTGTGCCTTTCATATCTCTACCATGTGTTTGTTTGTTTAATACCCATAAGACTACATCATTAAACCTCAAGCACTGATTTCACTAATTCAGCACTAGAGCTACAAGCTACAGCAGCAAACACCTTTTCTAGTCAATCATAATGGAACAGCTGGATGTTAAATGCAATATTATTTTTAGGTTGGTATCTAACTTTGACTTCAAACTGCAAACGGTATTTTCCTCCAAAACAAAATGCCTTCCTATCTTTGTAATGCATCCGCTAAGTATAGCAATAGCACCGCCACAGCGTGCCATCTATTCTCCCCACTTTATGATTTCCTCAGAGCCTTAGAAGCTGCTGCGAGATGCTAACATCATCACACCCTTTTTCTTCCTTGAGCAATGGCCGCCTTCGGTGAAACGTAACGCAGTCTGTTTGTTTTCCTTTAGGAAGTATTGCTTAAGAGAGCAGCAGACCTTGTGGAAGCCCTATATGGGATGCCCCATAACAACCAGGTAGGTCACCAGTGCAGCTCTCGCGTACATGCTTACACATGTAAATCAATACCTGCTATTTGCAAAGCTGGCAAAGTGTCAACACATTCTTTCTGTACACAGCGTGGTTTTGCCAGCCACCTTGAGGGCAGTCTGATGTGATGCAATGCTCCGAGGGAAATGCTTCATCTTCCCATTCTCCTCTCACCGCTAGTCTGCCCATCAGAAATGACAATTAAGTGTAAGGTGCCAAAAGCATAAGCAATCATTAAGGCAAGAGAATAACCTTGAATTTGGTCCAAAATATACAGTGACTAATGGGAAGTCCTAAATAAATCTGCTAAACAGACCGAATAAAACCTACTGCCTTTTGCGAACTGCTGGAAATAAATCTACCGCGCTGGATGAAGAAAATACGCCTTTACAATTTGCACATGGCTTACAATGCTTAACTGTAATTTTGTATTAATTTCCTTATTTCTTTAAGCCTACTGCATTGGTGTCACATTGTATGGTGATTCGGTATAGAAACGCGAGTTCAAGGCAAGCGAAATCCCCAGGCTTACCTTCGTTTTGCATGAATCTCTTCTGTGGATGTTACCATGATGAGAACTTTGAGCTTTTGCACAAATGTTTCCTAGCTGCTACTAATCATTCTGTGTCTTTATAGGAAATCATTCTGAAACGAGCAGCTGACATTGCTGAAGCATTATACAGCGTGCCACGCAATCACAACCAGATTCCTACTCTAGCCAACACTCCTGCTCATACTGGCATGATGGGAGTGAACTCGTTTAGCAGCCAGCTAGCAGTCAATGTTTCAGAAACATCACAAGCTAACGACCAAGGTATGTGGGCTTTCAAGAGTTAATCCTTGTTGGCTGTGTTTGGACAGTGCCTATTAATATTGGCTAATGTCAGCGCTGTGTTCTACCTCTTTCTCTCCTTGTTGTATGTCTGAGCGCGCGATGAAATGCCATCTTTAACTTTCTCATAATACCTAATTCTTCCTGTTCTTCTGTTTACTGTTATCGTAAAGCATCTCTGGTGGAAAAAGAAATTGGCAAAGCCTAGAAAGCTCTTTATTATTCACAGTAAATATACAGTGTGTTTGTTTATTATAAAATAATTATGTCTAGGTATCTCCACCTGTTTCTGAGTATTTGCACAGATAAATCTAATTTGATGTCTGTGATTGTAAAGTATTTTGTTTATAAGCATGTGTGACATATATGTTACTAATAAAAGAAATAGTTGATTTAATTTACATTTCGTAATTGAAAACGCATGTAGCATATTGCATTTAAAATTAATTTTGATACTAATGAAAGGAGTGAGACCAGATTATTGGATATGTTCAAAACCGTATTTTTTGCTTGCAACATAATTATTAAATTGATTGCTCAGATAGAAAAAAATGTTGTTTAAAATCCTGATTCTGCTATCTTTCCTCTTATAAGAGATTGTCTTTTAATGCATTTCCAAGCTAATAAGCCTTATAAAATTCTGCGCTTGATCTTGAATTAGTTTTCACTGATGACTACACCTTACGAAAGTGCCAGCTTATTGTTAGTATAAAAATACCAATCATAAAATGAAGACCCCAAAACAGCCTTTTAAAGTAACTCACTGCAAACAATAAAGTCTTTCTCGCCAGCTCTGGCATTTGAAGGTCTGAAAGTTCACGCAGTGTGTTGGTACCAACCAGGACTCAAGCCTGTTGATAATTGCTACTAAAGACAAACGCGAAGCAAACTGACACAGCTGGATCGAAGAGAGCTTTTGTTGGCTGTCTATGCTAAGAGGAGAGACAACATAGAGTGCTCGCAGATGATTTAAGTAGGGTTGGCGTGATAAGGTTATCTCAAACTGCAAGAGTTGATAGGGCAGTAACAGACAACTCAAAGCAAAGCTGTGCAATCAATTAAAACTGTGTAATATCTGATGCATGAGGAAACCCCCCAGCCCTAAGTTTATATTATAAAATAACATTATTTTTTTGGGGTGGGGGGGTTTCTAACACAGTAGGTTACAGTCGCAACACAAGCAGTGTTTCCCCGCGAGGATATGTTCCGAGCAGTACTCCTCAGCAGTCCAATTACAACACAGTCAGCAATAGCATGAATGGATATGGCAATGCCGGCATGCCCAATCTAGGTGTACCAGGTTCCCCTGGATTTCTTAATGGCTCCTCAGCTAACTCTCCTTATGGCAGTAAGTGTCTATTTTTGGTAACACATCATCATATAGATTCATATTTACTACAAAATCAAATACTTGCATTGTTTTGATTTTCTATATCGTGAGCTACTGGATAAAAGGAGGGGTGACTCTGGAGGCTGGACGTAAAAATGAATTTAATAAATTGATCTGTTTGTGCCATAATACAACCTCAGATAGAAAAAAAAAAAAAATTGGACTGCACAATTTGTAACAAAAGTCCAACACAAAAGAGTTTGCCTGTTATCCAGAGAGTGGCCAAGCCAAGGCATTTCATTTCTTTTTTTTTTAATATATATTTATATATATTATATATATATATTTTAAAAGGCAAGGCCCTATCACTCTCTTTTTCCGTGTTTGCCGTGAAAACCTCAATCTGAGTCCTGATTATTTTTGCTTTATTGCAGTAGTGCCGTCAAGCCCTACCATGGCAGCCTCTTCGGTCACCCTCCCTTCAAACTGTAGCAGTACACACGGCATTTTCTCATTCTCACCTGCCAATGTCATCTCTGCAGTGAAACAAAAGAGCGCCTTTGCTCCTGTTGTCAGGCCCCAAGCCTCTCCTCCACCATCTTGCACCAGTGCAAATGGAAATGGACTTCAAGGTGAGCCGGATCTCTCAATTTTCTTTGTATTGCTTTTTGGTACATACACTAAAACTACTGATGGTTTGTGTTGGAGAAAGGTACCTTACTGTATTTTTTGGTTTCTGATGCTCTCGTGGTGATGTAGAAGAAGTAGAACAGCACACATGACATGCTATGATCTTAAGCAGATCTGAGGCCAGTTTTCATACTTACCGTTCCGAAAACTCCAGTTGTCGTGACATTTTCCCTCAAGATTTTGTACATTGAATATTAACTTAAGAACGTATCCCCTGATGCTTCTTGGAGGTTTTGTCTACTCCTTGCATTTCCTTATACATCTCTGAATACAGTCATATGGACGTTCGAAGACAGCAACATTCCAGCGTAACGTGATGCAATTTCCTCACTTTACATGAGATGCAACAGGTATTGTCAAATGCTCCCAATTAGGAGAAATCAAGCTCTTACTCATTGAGCAAAGCTTCCCTTGCACCATCTAGCCACTTGTGCAGTGGATTTGCATGCTCTCTGGGCCATAATTCACTCACTAGTGTTACATTTGTTACTTCCATAAGTGAATATCCAGTATTTTAACTGAATTAGGCAATTACAAACTATTTCTTCTCTCTCTCTTTTTTTTTTCTAATCTGCATAAAATTCGTGTGGTGTAGCACAATGAATAATTTGAAAATTGGTCACCTGCTGGTAGTGGGGCAGGAGGAACTATGATACAGTGTATGTTTTGTGGAAGAACAGAAATACGAGCAAAGACGCGTTCCCTTTTGTGGCATATTTTAAAGTTGAGAAGGTCGCCCTGTCCCATTCATTACAATCATGGAAAAGGTTTGCTTGCCTGTGTTCTCCAAACAAAGAACCTATCCCACATGGCAGCACTGCAATTCAGTGAAATTCAGGAAATCAGAAAGTGCTGCAGACAGTGTCACCTGGGGGCTGCGACTCTTCTTCACTTTCTTAGCTAAGATAAGGTAACTCTTACTTATTCATAGCGTTGTCACAATACCCATAACAAGATGAGCACTCACTGCCAAACAGGTGAAGACATACACTGCAATTTGCTGCCTGCTGATTTTGGATACCTCTGTTCTGTGATATCTACCTCAGGGCACTTCCAAGAAACCTCATCCTACAGAACTGACTGCCCACCAACGGCCCTACCATTGCAGACCAGTGTCTCAGAATGAATGTCCCTGCATCATAGCTTGTTAGTAACTTCTCGGTCCAGAGAAGATAGCATCTGAGAGCTTATTATGCACTCAGGTCAATGAAGGACTGAGGATCCAGCTGCACAAATATTATTGTAGGGTGGATGTTAAAGAAAAGGGTAATTAGATTAACAATTTACGCCACTGCATAAGTCTTTGCAGTTGAAGCTTGACTATGCTGCAGTATATAGAAAACCAGACCAAGCATAAGCAATATTCTTAGAGAAGATGATCCATTTGTAAAAATAATCCTACTTTCTTCCATATAAAAATATAAAGCTTAAGAATTAAAAGAATATATGAATATAAAAATTAAATAGTTGCCATTTCAGCAGGTGAGTAAAGGGCTTCCCACTTGCTATCCAAGGTTTCAGGTGCTTATAAGATCTAGGTAACTGCAGAGTGGGGTTGTCAGAAGAGTGTGAGCAGAATGCCCAATTCCCAACAGACACCGAGCCCTAATTTCCTCCAGCACCTCCAGCCCTCCCAGTAATCATCCACTGTCACCCTCAGCTGAAAAATGCCCTTTGTGTAAAATCCTGGCAGCCCATTTGGAGTGCACCAGTGCTGACTTAGTTGAGCTGAAGGCCCAGCTGTCCCTGTGCTCAGGGTGCTGTGACCCAAGCGGCAGACCTGGCATTGCCCACAGTGAATTCCCTCCTGCAGGTGCTGCTAAAGCTCTAAGGATTTTTTGTTACATACCCTAGAGACCTGAACCGTTGTGTTACAGAGCTGTCCCTGCAGTACTCAGCATGTGAAGCTTCTAAAACATGAGGGCACTTAGAAGGTTCAGCCTGAGCTGATGGCAGAGCAGGGGGTTTCCACTTCCTATTTTCTTAGTTATCGTTGGACACAGAGCCCTTTTTAAAGTTTAATTACTCTCTTTCTGAGCACTGAACAAGAGGCTGTGCAGAAATCTCTTATTTTTTGTTCAGCAGCCAAACTGAAAATGGTTGAGGTGTTGATCTGGGGAAAAAAAAATCATGCTGTCCTCACCCTGCTGAGACAGCAAAACCAAATCTTGTCATTTGAACAAAATGACACAGAGAAATATCAGGAAAGTCCTTCTGGTCTGGTAATTACAGCACCAACTTCCAGGCTGTGGCAAAAACTCTGATTATTTATGCAAGGTAGCACTTCACCCACAGAGGAAAGTTGGGACAGGGCAGTTGGGGTAAAATCTCTGGGTTTGGGTTGTGTGAGAGAAAATCAAATTGCACCTGACACATTCATGTGAGTGCCTTCATCACCGTGCCGAGGGGCATCAGCATTTTTATCCAACCAGAGCTGCCCAGTCTGAGCTGCTGGCAGAGCAGGGCATTTCTGCTTCCTATTTTCTTAGGCAGTGCTTGACACAGAGCCCTTCCTAAAGGTTAATTACTCACCTGAGCACTGTACAAGAGGCTCGAGAGTTTTCTGATCAGCACGTCAGACCACATTTTGTATGTTAAAATACAACACAGAATATTGAAGACCATCGGGACCGCAGTGGTCCTCAATCAACAGAGCCTCTCTGCACAGCTGAAAGCACCATTAGCAATGGCCGTGGACACTGGGTCAAACTGAGACAGAAGCAAAAAATTCATGGTCACCAGTGATTGTTTTTAAGGTGAATCCTGCAGCTGATGGATCTGGGTAGCAGAGGATGACGTGCTCTTTTAACCTGGAGCAGGGTGTCCTCTCTATTGTTGCTTGTCATTTTCTGCCTACATAATTCTGAACTAATCAGCTGTTTTTCACCCAGCGCTATGGGAGGTGGTTGGCTATGGCAAGGCATCAGCATGCTGACACAGTCAGGCCATACAACTCCCCATTTTTCACATCAAAGTTTGTTATCACTGTGAACAGATAGTCAGATGAGAACATGGCAAATTCCTATATGCAACAGACAAGGGCAGTGCTTTTATGGGGCTTTGGGGTGTTTACTGCAGTAGTTCTTGCTAAGCACACCCCTGTGGGATTTGTCTGTGCAAAAAAGATTCTGCTCTTGGTTCTTCTGAGATGACTGCCAAGGACTGACCATAGAGAGGTCTGTAACCAACATAGGGACTCAATATTTTCCTAAAGAGATTCAAGAAAGAGGGTAGGAAAAATTCACAAGCATAAAAAGAAGACAAACCAGTGAAATCAGTGCTAAGGTGTAGTCTCCTTCCTTGCTACATTCACAATCCATTCCTCCTCGTGCTGTGTTGTGAATACATGCATCCTTTGCCAATTGATACTGCAATTAGGGTCAGAACTTGGAAACTGCAGCTTGCAGAGAGAGATGCACTGCAAGTACGACTCGCTCCTGTAAGCCTGCAGAATGGAGCCTTTGGGCCCTATCCAAAAAAAAACACAACCTCGTTAACTTTGTATGACTTCCATTAGAGAGCCTATGATCAGAAAGTTAAGCACTTCCATGTTTCTTAAGAGCAGGATGCTAGAATATGGGTTCCTCAGGGCAGAGAGCTTTTTCCTGTTCAAAACAACGGATGTATAAGGTATAAAATATTTTTTTTTGCACAAAAGTACTACCTTGCTGTAAAGTTGGAAGTGTGTTCAGAATTCAGTTTTCAACTGTAATTTTCTTGTAATTGACTTTGAAATCGCACTCTGGATAAGCCTTATGACTGTAATGCAGAACAAAAGGTTCTCTACATTCTTTTAAAACTGCATCCTGCTTAATTTTCCGGTCTCCCCCCAGTTGAAACTATTGTTATTTAAACACTAGCCACCCTGTTTTTCTTTAGGGAGGCATTTGCTATCAATTTGCACAGAAAGAACCAGAGAGCAGCAATTCGCAATTGTCAAATGTCACAACTAAAATAAATAGCGAAATAAAAGACTAGAACAATGATTTTGCATCACCTCCCCATTGTGCAACAGATGGAATTTGACAAAAACAGCTGAATAGATTAAACAAAAGATTTCAGCCCTTATTCTCCTGAAAAGCATGCAGCAGCTACCTATATTTTCACAAATATGCCCCATCCCTGCAGGCATTCAAGGCCAGGCTGGATGTGGCTCTGGGCAGCCTGGTCTGCTGGTTGGTGACCTGCACACAGCAGGGGGTTGAAACAACATGATCACTGTGGTTCTTTTCAACACAGGCCATTCTATGGCTCTACGATTCTAAATCAGAAGCTAATTATGAGCCTTTCAATAAACATGTGATTAAAAATTACAGGGTAGTATTGCCAGCTATCTGTGTGCTCTTAGCGCATTTCCGCACACAACTTCTGGAAGAAAAGTCCAGATTCTTTTTTTTTTTCTGCAAAGTTTTCATGTGAAAAGAGAGCAGAGCAGATGAGCACTGCTCACTCACACTGTACTCAGCATGCTGGCACAGCCCATGTCCCCCCAGCACCCCGACATGGAGCAAAGTGATGGATACCAGCTGAACATGAATGCAGGATACAGAAGTGCAATGTATTTTGAGATGACCTGTGCTGATCCTGCTCTCCAGGGTAGCTGGGGGTTGTATTGTAATAGAACAGATCTCCAGTTGGCTTTGGATGTACTCTCATGGTCACAAGTGCCCAGGGTGGGGGTTTCCCTTCCCATCCTCCGGGGTGAATGGCACAGCCATTCCCCAATGGGATGGGAAGGCCAAAAAGTGAAAGGGAACCCAACCAGTGAAGGGTTGTCCCAGAGCTCTGTGCTCCTCTTACCTTGTTGAATATCCAATGGAAGCGTGGGATGCAGACTGAGTTCTCCTGCTGGAAGCAGTCTCTGTAAATAAATCACCATTCACGAGCTGTTTTGTTTCCAGTTGTGTGACTTCTGTCCCGCTTCAGGTTTGAAACATACGCTGAAATTATAACTGTAGCTCCTGGTTGTTGTAGGGGACTCTGCTACGTCGGGAATGTGTGTGTACACAAGTCTTCCAAACCATAAAGTTGTACCAGGGAATCTGAAATAAATTAATATTGTTGAAATTAATGAACTGAGAAATTGAAGTTCACATCGCTACAAGAACAAATTTATTAATATCTGTTGTACATAAATTAATGAGAAATATCATTATGACAAAAATTAAACAACGCTACAATTAAAGACAGTCTAAATTATGTTCCTACCAAGGAGTTAACCGGAGAAAAAGCAGCAGGCTTTGGCATCTCAGTGTTAAACTGGAGGAAAAAACGAGATGGCGAGATAGGGATATTAATCTCGTGCCTTTTTATAGCAGTCGGTGTATGGATTTGAGAGCAGGTGTACAGCACTCGGCTTTGATCTTAGAGAGTCCTTGACTTGCTTGGCCCTGCTATTGTGATCAAGTGCAATTAGGAGAACGTTGGCATGGAGGTTTTCTGCTCAGGCTCTGGTTCTGGGGAGGAAGCGGAGGTTTGCGGGGCTCTGCTTGCTGGGCCAGGCTGTCCCCCAGGCTGGCTGCTAACAGAGCTCCGCCAGCAAAAGAGCGTTGGGATCTCCTTTGGAACGGTGCAAGGGCGCTGTGTCGGGAAAGCATTTGTGCAGCCTTCCTCCGCTCCACGCAGTGCTGGATGCCAACGGGCTGCACTATATACACCGTATACACATGCTGTGTATATGGGGACACCCCATGTGATGCTCCATGTCCGCCCGCCGCGACCCAGACGTGCCTTGTTGTACAGCATGCAATAACAGCCGGTTTTTCTCTTTTTCTTTTAGCTATGTCCGGGCTTGTAGTCCCGCCAATGTAAAGTCATTTTGTTTACCTACCGTAGCGCCAAGCTTCAAGGATGGGCTTAGGGGACACGTTTAGTATATTAAGACATGCTGATGGAAACAGTGTCTTCAAAACAGAATCAGCAACAAATCGAAATGCTACAAAAAAAAAAAAAAAAAAAAAAAAAAAAAAAAAAAGACTTTGTTTAAAGATTTTATTTAAACTATTAAGAATCTACATGCAAACAACCTACTTCTTCATGAACAATTCCATTTTATTGACTGAATTTTTTCTCATATTTTCACATTTCTCAGTCCTGAAGAATAAGGAAAAAGCGACGCCTATTTTGTATAAAGTTTCTGATTACGTCTTGGCTATGTCTAGTACTTGCTATGTGTTGGGAGAAACTTTGTGGATGCACCATTTTGATTATCATGAAACACTGATGAAAAATGCCTCCGAACATTTTTCTGTACTCATAACTAGATTCACAATGGTTGTGTATCTCTATAATGTGAAATATTTTTTTGTGGTGGAACAAAGGGGGCCAAGGAGGTCATGAGCCATCAAACTGGAAGAAGGATGAATATATGGTCGGAACAAACACCGGGGCGGGGGTGGGCGCGGGAGGGTTTACCATTGCTTAACTTCATCTTAATGAAATGGAACTTTGTAACTTATTGTAGTTAGAAATTGTAACTTTGATATTGAATTCTCTTGCCTTCAACAAGCACACTGACAGAGAAAAAATTGCTACTGTCTGTTGGTAAAAACCTATACTTCCACTGCTAGAGCTTCCTGTTAAGCAAGTGTGATCTGCAACATTTTTTCAACTTTTGCTAGCACTGTATACTATTGCATTCTTAGGCTACTGTGAAGTCTATGTTTCTTGTACCAGAAAATTGTCCTTTTGACTTCTAGATCCTTCTTCCCTAATGTGTTTTGTATGTGGTTATAAAATTGTAGACTTTTGTGATTTTGCCAAAGTTGTAGCTAAATATTTATACACTTGTCTTGAATTTTTTTCAGATCCACTTAAATATCTAGAAAAGCAAATTTTATTCCTTATGAAGCCTGTAAGGAATAAAATAGTCTTACCCATCGCAACACCTTCTTTCACATAAACACTTGCAGTCACTAAGGGAATTTATTTTGTAACATATCAACTATAAATATTGTATTTATCTTTGAAATTTTGTATATTGCTTTTCATCATTTTGTTTTCTTGTATGTATTGGTTTTTGTCATGGCCTGGTATGGTGATGCTGAGAACAGCATTCAGCCAACAGCAGTTGCCTTCATGTTTTTCTTTGAAGTAAATCAGCGTCCGTGCATTTCGTTTGTACTTGGTGAAGTTGCTATTATTTCGACTCTCCATCCTTTTCGTTCCTTCCTTTCTTTTTTTTCTTTTTCTTTTTTCCCTTTTTTTATTATTTTTGAGGAAAAGTCAAATTCATCGTTTATTTTTATATGATTTTTAAGTTATCAGAACAAATAATTTTGAAAAAGAAGTTGTTTGTTGTATAGTCAAACCCAATTTGTGCCACATGGCTGTAATGAATACTAGTAGAATATGTGCATGTGATACAGCCACAAAAAAGAGGAATCTGTTTTGTGGTTGCTTTTTTTTCCCCCCTTTTTTCTTTTCTTTCTTTTTTACTTTTTTTTATTTTTATTCCCTTTATTTTCCTTTCCTTTCCTTTCGTTTATTTTATTATTATTGTTTTTTGTTTGCTCCATTTTGTTTTATTTCAAAGGCTGTAACAAATCGTTGTTAGCTGCCACCCATGACTTTGCCACGTAGCTGAACTGTGTTTACTGGGAAAAGTCAGAGGCCTAAAAGTTTAAAATAAATTCACTTCTGATGTTTTAATTAAAACGTTTGCCACATTAACTTCTCCGATGCCTTAAAAGTGAACTTCTTTGAAGAACTTTTGTGCTGTTTTATCACAGGCTTACACCACAATTGTTAACCGCTACTTCATTTGGGTGATTTCTGGTGTAAAAGAAAAGCACAAACCCGGTGTACAACTCTATCACTCCTTTATGTGTCTATTTTCTGCTGCACTCTGCATCCTCCCGAACCCTGCACTGTTTAAAACAGAGAAAAGTTTCACTCGAGATCAGGATCACACGTGATTTTTAAACGCCTGGGGTTTGCTTATTTCGGTTTCTCGCTTTTTTTATGGAACTTTTTGTAATGGACCCACAGATGACTGTACTTTTTAAACTGGAATGACCTCCATCGTGTTTTGTGGCTGTTAGTGCCAAATCCATAGTGAGAAATGTTTCTGGTTTTCTTTTACTTTGCACTAAATGGTTTGCAAATGCAGCACTGCAAAACGTTTTGCAAACTGCAGCAGAATTAAGGTTTGAACCAAAAAGGAGGGATCTCTTTTTTTCTTTTTTTTTCTTTTATTTCTTTTTTTCTTTTTCTTTTTCTCCTTTCTGGGCAAAAAAATGCACATTTTAATAAAGTGTTTATTAAAGGGTTTAAAAGAATGATACAGTGTGTCACAGCCAAGAAATGCCCCGCGCGTTTCTTTGGTGATAACCAATAAGGCTTAGCTAAGTGGAAAAGCCTGAGAAGTCACTTTGGAACTGAATTGCCTCAGTTATATTTTGTCTAATGACGTTCTGAGCTAACGAAGAGGTCACGTGTACATGTTAAAAACATTTGCAACTTTCTTCATAACTGCAACCTGTTTGTGTTTTAGATTACTTAGAGCAGCCATCGCTTCATCATCTCCGAACGGAAAGCTTCACTAAATGGTAGATTTTACTGTTAAAGACCCTACAATAAGATTGTTTTATCTGTACATTTTTTCATATATTTAACTGTATAAAAAAAAAAAAAAATGTTCATTTTACACAATATTTAATTAAAGTATTTCTTGTCTGTGAATTTCATTTTTTAGTAAGTTTATCTGGTTTGATTATTAAAAAAAAAACAACGGACAACACACGAAACAAAAGAATGCAGCACCAGGGCTCTCGTTTCTAACCGCCAGCGCTTGTACTCACGTCTCAATTAAAAACCATAAGCCACGAAATAGGTTTTCCCTGGGAAAAAGCCAGGATCCTGGGAAGGAAGGCAGCAGCCTGCTGCTCCGCCACGGTGATGCGTCCCAGACAGCCTGTATGTAAAGGTAATGGCAGAGCTGCTTCTTTCTGTTCCATTTTCAGATGGCATTGTGAGATTCTGTCAACAGGAAAAGTTATTTTAAACGCAGCATAACCCGAATTTTCCACGCAGTGCTTTCGCACCGAAGGTCAACCTGCTTGTTTTCTCATTGCTGATAAGAAAGCAAATGTTTTTTGATAATTATAACAGCGAACACCGAAGTATGTTGTCCCTTGGACTCCAGCATGTGTAGTGTGCATCTCATGTACCTGAGCGTGAGTGTGCAGAGGTGGGCACGAGTCAAACCTCCTGGGTGCAGGGTGTGTGCATGGGAGGCAGCTCCAGCACCGACCTGAAGCTGAGCACGTGTCTTGGTAAAGGAGGCGGTTCAGCAGGCCACTTCTGCTCCAGCATTACCAGGCACTGCTGGAAACGTCAAGAAGGCACTGAGATAACCAAGCTTGGAAGAAAAAATACGTACAGGTGCAGGTGTGTATTCTGCCATCTGACAGGTAGAGTGCCTTCGGTGCCCTGTGCTTCTGTAGTTCAGTGACGAGTGTGATGAGGAGCTGCAGCACGCTGTAGCTACATTCTAGAAAGAAGCAAACCCAGGATATTTAACTGTGTTTCCTCCTATATTTCCATCGTTTTTATATGTGATGTTAAAAATAGAGAGCACTTTCGATTATGACTATTATTTTGCATTGACAGCCATTTCACTCTGTGTATGTACCTGCATATCATGTCTAACCACTGGCACAATCAGACACGCGCCACTAAAAATAAGACTTTTTATGGGGATGAAAGTCTGCATGATGCCTACTGGCACTGCTCCTTTTAGGTTCGTTTCAAAGGTTTGAATAACGAGTGCCTAAATGGTTGGTCTAACGTTCAATACAAAGAAAATACAAAAGAAAATAAAACACACGTTCTGTGTTGAGAACGACAGGTCCTGGAGCGATCCAGCACCCGTGACACATCTATATCCATAGCTTGGCAATCGCCCTGCCAGGAAAATATGTTGTGTCAGCTCACACCAAGTTTAGAAATGCAAAGAAGAAGATGATAAAATTTCCTTAATCGAAATGAAGGAATAGAGTCTCTAAAAGTATATGCCAATTATTGCAGAGCAGATTTTTAAAGTCTTTCAAGCTTTTAAAGATTATTCAAAGCACTTGAAATAGGCTTCAATCTAATGCCTCATTTCATTGCATTAAACAGCCTAGTTAATAAAGAATCAATATATTCAAAGGGCAAGGTTATCTTTTGTCTATAAGGGGTGGTGTCATTCTGAACCTTTTATAGTTCAAATGCTGAAAAAGACCTCATGAAATCCATACTCATCAAGTGGGTCAACTAGAGCAATAAAGAGGCCCCTGAAAGAATGGCTGCGCTCCTTTAAAACAACTATAAGTCTTATCTCCCCCGCATAGTGCTTGCGCAGAATCAGCCAGAAAATGTCAATTTCTCATCAAGACAAGAGGCCCAATGATAATTTTTTTCTAGAGAATACATACAATTAGGAGAATGCAGAAAGGCCCCATCAGTGATTTGTAGCTTATTATGTCACCAGCAAGCTGCGATCTACTGCTAAGCAGATAATAAGGGCTGTTGATAACTGAAGTGTCAATATGCCAAAGAACGATTTTTGAATGTGAGCCCTTGTGCTTTTTTTCCCCTCCTTGTGCAGATCGCAGGGCCTGATAACAGAGCATCTGCCAACCGACACCGCGCGCCGGACCACACAATTAATGCCATGAATAAATAGCACAAAAGAGTTTAGATTCTTTATACTCTTTGAGACAATTCCCTGTTTTACCCTTCAAGGATTTCTTTTATGTTCGAATAAGGTTGCTTTTAATGAAATTTAAACTCATCAGAGGAAATCAAAACCCTCAAATCAGATTACAAATTGATTTTTTTTCTTTTTTTTTGGTCACTTGTCATTATACAATGTACTGCCCTAAGTTTTACAGGAAAAGGAAGAGAAAGTGCCGGGTATTGAGTAAGAGTATGCAAACAGTCTTGGAAAAGGCATATGAAAGAGGAACGTTCCTAAAATTCCACAAGAAAGTTTTACAGAGTTGATGTGTATCAACACGCGATCGTTACTGTTATGCTCACCATGTGCTGGTTATAAAGAAAAAACTATACTAGAACTTTGAAATGCATACATTAAATCACCAAACCCAAGTGATCTCTGTTTTTCTTATATATAATGCTAGATGTCTTTGTTACATACAAGGAATTAAATATTATTTCTCACAGCTCAGGTCAATAGCAGCAGAAGGTGAATCTGAGAGTGGGTCTGGTACCCCTTCCCTTTGGTGACGTTGCCAGTGCAGTTTGGCCAGCTAAAATACGATGCTGGCAACATATGCTATATACAGCCATGATCTTTTTGTTTCCTTCCGCGTTCCAATAAAGTCACTGTTGTACTACCACGTTTTTGTTTTCTCTTTATTTATCAGCTTGAAGAAACGAGATATAGTAAATTGGTTACTAAACGCTAATTTTTGTTGCCTGAAATTTTTAGAGGACTTCTGTTGTGATGTGACACTGTTTTCCACTGGCCCTGAGATAAATGAAAAGATTTGAGAAACTTCTTTGTAACAAAGGAAGGCATTAACTTCCCCAGACCACTGGGAATGGTGAGTGCAAAAAAGATCTGCTCCAAGCAGACAGAGCTCACAGCGTTGTATAGATTGCTCAAAACCAAACAGCCCACCAACCAACCACAAACTAACAAAAATGGAAACTGAGTCCAGAATTGGTCTGTGTAATACAGCCAACAAGCTCTGAAGTTGCCCTGTACTGACAGTGGGATTAGCATAGGGACAGCAAGGGGAAGGAGGAGATCAGCCAGGAGGACTTGGGGGAGCTGCACAGAGCGGAGCTGCCCTGGGCACGGGGCTCCAGAGCTGCCATTGCCTCGGCCTGGCTGTGGTGCCAGCGGGCAGGAGGATGCTGGCATCAACCTGGCCAGACATGGAAGCACTTGAAACCATAATGACTAGAAATAATTCAGAACCTGCAATACGTTGTCTTGCAAGGCTGTATGGCCAGACCAAGTGTCACTCAGTGAGGAAGGGGAAATAAGTACTGAAAAGGACAGGAGCCGTGCCATACAGTAGAAGCCACTCCAGCTCAGCAGGGAGTCCCATCTCTGAGCACCCCAGCCCTCCAGCAGCCTGTCCAGCCTCCCTGCTGCCCCATGCCCTTCCCTGGGGCAGCACTAGGCTCTCCGTGGGGCAGCAGGCAGGCTGCAGCAAGGCTCTGGGCAGCCTGGGGGGGCCATGGCCCACAGCCAGAAATAAAACCAGGAGGGCCAGACAGCTTCACAGGTTTACACATCACTTTGGAAAAGTCAGCTGTGTGAAGAAAACAGCAAAGCGTAGATTGGTTTGGGATAAAAGCTCCCAAAACATACTCGAGGTGGAACACCACCAGTTTCACCTACATCAGGTGAAAGGGCCAGGTGTGTACATCTGTGGGTCAATGTTGGAAAATCCCACAGTGCAGCTGTGCTGAACAGGTAGCTCTGGAAGAGCCTTGGGCTTCCTCCCTGGACATCAGTGAAATTGAAGAGTGGACATTTTTACAAAATGGAATTCCTGTTTTTTCATCTTAAGGAAACGGAGCTGACAGAGCTGGAACCAGACCCTAGCAAGTGAGCCCAGCCACTGCTATGCTCTGCTCAGCTGAGGGCTGAGGAACTCAGAGAGGAAGGTGGTAGTGGATGAGCTGCTGTATCTGTGCTTTTGCAGTCAAGTCATGGGAGACAAAAATCATGGTTTAATCATCTGCAGGGGGATAAGAATGGAAGAAGGTCTACAAAGCAGGGTGAAACAGCTCTAGGGAGAGGGCGAGATTTAGTTTGCTCTAAATCAGAAAGTAGCACTGCCAGCAGAAAGCCATGCAAAAGGGACTCAGCTGTGATGCCAAACATGGTCAGTCCCATTTAGCAGGTGGCAGGGACAAGATGAAGGCACCACGCTCATGCTGTGATGCCCCATGAGGTAACTCAGCCCTGCTCAGGCACCTCATGATTGATACATGCTTGCAGAAGTGATGGAATGAACCTTTTTTCTATAGAAGTGGGAAGAAAATAGAAGGAATTTACCTTTGAATTTTGTAGAACCAATATCTCCATAGAGCAGGGTGTCAGGTAGAATCATTTCGAGGTTTTGTTGCCTGAGGTCTACCTTCGATGGTTGGGGGCTTCCCCCCCAATCAGCATCCATGTTTCTTATTCGTTTATTTTTAGTCCACTGTGCCATGTCTGCACCACGTGGAGACCAGTCACTTGTGTTTGCATATCAAACGTTGTATCCCAAACCAGTCTAAGCTGCCAAAGACTGCACTGCTGCTGGGATGCTGCTTTGCAGAGCAGTTCATGTTTGCTTTATGTTGCTGTTGAGTGGGAAAGCAAGACCCTTGCAGTAGGCCATCAAATCCAGCAGTTACCTCTGCAGGTGAGAACTGTTATCCCATACTGCTGCAAGAACTGGTCAGATCCCAGGTAGGACAAAGAGGAGGCTGGAAGACAAATGCTTCATCTTCTCTCAGTGCTACATCATGTTTGCACAGCATGGTTTGCTGTGGGTGTCTTGCATGATCCATATGGATGGAAGAGCCTTCAGAAGCTGCTGTGCAGGAAACAGACAGAAGTTAAGCAGATAAAGAAGATAAAGATGCCCGAAATGCTCTGCTTCAGCTAGCGTTAAGATGTCACAACCACAAAACTACAATGCCTCAAAGAGTAATAGATGCATGTTAGTGTAACCAGCTACAGATCTCACATTGTTCATGTAAATGCAAAAATCTGAGAAAAGTTCTTTTAAATCTTTTTGTTAACATTACCCTGGCAAGCAGTTAGCAGAAGCAAATCAAGCACTGTTGCTCTCTGGGTGCTGCCCGTACTATGAGGGAAATAACCTGCAGGAACACACCAGGCCGTGCAATGGGGACTCATCAGCCACAAACTGGTAGAGAAGAGTTTGTGCTTCCAGGGCAGCTGGATGGGGCTGGCAGAGCAAGGGCAGGGACGTGGTGTTTTTGTGCAACAGGGACGCCACAAGTTCAATCAGGGTCAGGAAAACATATTTTTTTCTATGCTGAAATTATCCATTCCGAATGGAAACAGACACAAATAACTCTGGTGTGTGAACTGTACATACCTCACACTGTTCACTGCTCCTGTAGTAAGTTCAAATATAAGGAAGAGCAGAAACAACAGGCTTGGGTGCTAAAATATACATTCCAGCCATCACAACTGGACTGCCTCAAGGTCAAATTTACACTGCTTTCTATCACCACTCTCTATATTCTCTCTAATGAAATGACCCTTGTCCTGCAGTCTTCTGGCACCATGATGAGAAGAGAAAGCCTTGTTGTCTGCTGTCATGGCTACTCTGCCCCATACTTTCAATGCGAAGATTAAATATTGATACATAGCAGGGCAGTAAGAGCCACTGACCAGGGATGCGGCGCTGCTGGTGGGATGGGCTGCCCACCCCTGTGCCTCACAGTGACAAACCTTGTGCAAGCCCTTCCAGCAACAGTGCAGGAATGTCTGTTCCTTTCAATGTATTTGTCTGGTTCAGGTCAATGACTAATTCACTTGAAACTGAAAACCCGATTGGGAGCTGGAAGAGCAGAAAATGTGTTTTCCTCTCCCTGTCCATGAATAAAAAATAGATTTGAAAGGATAAGATCTGCCAGTTTTAGCATCTTGAAGGACGTGGTGACCACAAACCACCCATTCAGCATTTTGAATGCAGATAATACCATTTCCTTTGCTTAGTAGCTCTATGAACATATTAACTCTAAACACATAGGTTGTTTAGAAGAGAACTTGACAACGCATGGAATACTACGGGAAATGCAACATCCAGCCATTTCATAGACACAGAAATACAAAGCATATAACCTGAACATTAAATAGAACTGCCTACACAAGAGGAAATAGTTAAAGTAACCCAGGTCAGCAGACTGAACAGCCAGAAGACATGCATATTTGGAAAAAAATGATGGGTGCAGGCCTTGGGAAGGAGCCTGGGCTCTCCCAGCATTGCCATAGGAAAAAGCAACGCAGGACAGCGATTTCAGACAAAACCTTTTCCTGAGACCTTCTGGATACTTCTGTCAGTAATACTTACCCAATACCTGGTGATGGAAAAGCCACCCATCAGCATCCTTTTTCCCAGTGTACACACACATGTAGTGCAGCTAACAGCACCTCATTCAATGCTGCTTCCTTTGCTCTTCGCTCCATCTTTAATGCAGCGTTGCCCTTTGGTAGCTGTGTGGTTAGGGTTAGGGTTAGGCCTGTGACATTTTAGGGTCAGCAGTTCTGTCTCAGGGTCCATTTTCACATGAGCTGACCTCCTGGAATTTTGTTTTCAAGCAACATTTGGACATCTCATTTAAACTCCATTTATACATCTCCTGTAAACTCACGTTTACAGGATCCAAGTCTGCATTTGTGATGAAGGGCCGAGCCCGGGCTCTGATGTGGCAGACTGTGAAGCACCAGGAACGTACTGTGCTGCAGTGAGCCAGTGATGGCCACACACTGCCAGCAGTGCAAACCTGGTGTTTGTGCCACCTCACACAGCCCAACTGGGGAGCAGCCTTGCTGCACAGGACCTCCTCAGTCAGGGACAGGTGCAGGCATGCTGGCAATCAGCAAAGCCAAGGTGTATTTCCTGCAGCATGCAGCTGGGGGCATTTTGCAACTCATTTTGCCGGAGAAAACTTGTTATTTAATTGCCTTTGCTGCTGCTGGATCGGAGTCAAAATGAGTGGGAATATCAGGTCCTGCCAGATATATTCAATCATATTACGGCTTTTTTCCCCCGAATGGATGCAGCATGCCAGTGAGCAGTGAAGCAGTTAAACACAGCCGTGCAGATGCCAGCAAGGCTGCGATTTCACAAGGAGCATCCCACCAAAATGAACAAGGAGAACGCACACATCCCCAGGTGCTTCTACCAGTCCCCACAGAGAGCTTACGGGAAGGGAACTCAATGGCTTGGCCAACTGCTGGAAGGAGGGATCTCTGTTCTGACAAAGCACGAATACCATCCAACACAGCTCCTAAATAAATAGTGAGGGCTGTTAAAATTCAGAAGGATGCATTCACGCTGCCAAGCAGGTGGAGCGAGGAGGCAGAGGTGCCCCCAACAGCCCAGCCCCGCATCGCAGTGCTCCACAAAACTGGGTGGAGAGGGGAAAAAGCAATGTCTAAATGAGTCCAAAACTGATTATCAGGCTCCTAAGTGGCAATCTAATTTAGCTATATAAAATCATGAAAGGCAAAGAATTAATTGATACTAATGAGTTATACGAGATAGCATCATAATTAATTCCTAAATAGAAAGAGGACATAGGCTGGAGTGTGTGTGGGGGGAAACAAGATTGGCCTACATATCCTAGCAGATTACAGAGGGTACGTCTGAAATGAGAAGTGAGCAGCTGAAATCAGGATGGATGGAGCTCCAGCATTGCTCCCATGGTTTGGGGAGCCCCACGATCCCAGGGGGCAACGGGTGCCGGTCCCTGCATTGCAGGGCACACACTGGGTACCTGCTGGTTGTCATGGGAACCACACAGATTGGATCTTTTTTTTCTCCCCCCAGAAATATTGCTGAGTAAATCCATAATCCCAAGACAACTTTGCCATGCATCAAGTCACAGATCTGGGATCAACTTAGGCAAGGTGTTGGTGGGTTCGACTCGGAGCAAAGCTGCTCTGCTCCACTCCGGTTTGGACCTACTGAGTCCTCTGCTGCATAAACCACAGGTGACCACTCGTGTGCTGGGGGACAAAAAGCTTTGATGAATCACAGAAACAGTAAATTATACATGGAAAGAGCACTCATTTTTGGAAACCCCGTAGAATTAGCATCACATGTTGACTCTGCTTCCATGAATATGAAACAGAGACCTTTTTGGCCTTATTTCTGAAACTGACATTAAAAGTTTTGTTCATTTTTAATTTTTTTTCTCCTTCAAAACCAGGTTTTAATTTTAAAAGAAATCCCATTTGCAGAAATTAAATTCCAGTTACATTATTGCATGGTGAAGCCCAGAATCGCCCTCCTGTTGAACAAACTACATCTGATAAATTGCAAAGAAATATCAGTTTGTAGAATTAAGGTAATTTTTAAAAATGTTACCATGAAAAGTCGTGCATTGTTGGCACATACCAATAATTCACGTCAGCCTGAGCCAAATTCCTGGTATTAAAAGTGTAAACAGTCACAATCAGTGATCAACTCTATTTGACCCTGGCATCAAGGCCATTCATAGAAACAGTAGTTGCACAGTAAATCCAGCTCAACACGAAATAATTATTACAAATCAAACAATTTTCTGTGCCAACAGGTCAGCCAGGGAACAATCAACCCATTGACACCACGCCCTCATGTGTGAGGACTGTGGGCTGTGATGCAGGACAACAGGAGGATGGGGAAATAATGATAAATACATTTTGCCAAATATCTTTCAAGCCCTTCCTGCTGGTGTGTCCCCACCCGGCACCTCCTCCTCTGTGACATGTCATCTTTGCAACGGGGGATGAGGAAGATGGTGTGTGTCTGTGCAGCACAAAGCAGATCCAGCAGCAATGCTCCTCTCTCCATCACTGCCAGCATGACACGCATCCCCTTGCATTGCTCCCAGGTTGGCTGGAACGTGCTGTCCTCCTTCCTTGCAATAAGAAAAGCTGGCATCAGTGAGATCTGCTGCTAAATAATCCAGAACAGGAGCGGGATGGAGCCATGCAGAGAAATGGAAACGTTTGGGTACACTGGGAGAAAAGAAGTAATTTAGATATAGGGAACAATGCCTGCCTGCCTGACGTGCCCTTATTTTGTCACTGATTGCTTCTCTACACATGCAACTTCAGACCTTAAGTACTGCATATACTGGAAGTTTTAAAATCAGTGCTCGCCTGCTAATCTTTTCCTGCTACAAATAAAGAAAAATTAAATTGAAATAATCATTGTTTCCAGCTGCCTTTCTTGGGGTTTACCTCCCCATTTAGTGCTGCTGCCGCCGCCACTTCTTTCCCATCAAAACGCATTCGTAGTGACGCACGTTTCCTCACTCTCCAAAAGAGATGGGGCTTAAAACCATCTTAAAAAATGTGTTGGGCATCCCATGGCAGGCCTTGCAAACAACCTGAGCACGAGGCGAGGAACAACGTCTGAGGTGAAGCAATGCTGGCAGGCTTCACAAACACGGACAAAACAAGAGGCTGTCCTCAGGTCCTGCTCTCACATGGGAAAGCGCTCGGGCACAGCGCTGCGCCGAATGAGCTGCTGATAAATCTAATCCTGAAGGATTGGAAATGAGGTAAAAGAAATTTTGATGAAAATTATGTACATGTACTTTGACAAGCTCATAAACACTGCAGCCATGATAAGTTTTCTTATTTTTTTTTTTAAGACCTGACACAACTGTGTAAGCCCAAACTCTAATTTTTACAGCCCTGGGTTTGGAGATCTGTCATTGGGAGATATAATGGAAAGAATAATTGCTTGGTGGCTGCACAAACATGAGATGTGTTGTCAGGCTGCAGTTTGGAGGCTACATCTGGCTTCAGAAATGATTGATGCTGTCTCTGTGTGTGATTTGGGAAACAATTTTTTTTTTTTTTTGCTAACACAACCGACGTGCCGAACCTCCACGCAGCCGGAGCAATTAAATCGTTATTAATGAAAACTTTTCATTTATTCCTCTTACTTCCAAGCTCCTCTTTCGATTGCAGCACTGCACGGCGATGGCAGAGGAAGGTAGGCATGTGATTTCAATTTGAAATTAAAAGTCATGTCTGAATAACAGAACAGCATTCTCATTTCCTAATACTCTGCTTTTTACTACTTTGCATTCAACTGTGAAAAGTCTTTTAAAACTCTGAACAGCAGTAAAACTTGAATGAATTTTTGACCCATTATTGCATAGCGGGTGCGCTTTCCAAGTTCGAGAGACTGCCAAGTTCTCCCCACCTAATATTTCCACTTTAATTGTGCCACTTGAGAAATTTACGTGCCTCAAAATATGGCATGAATCTTACGCTTATTGCAGTATCATTAGCAGCAACATTTAAGCAACATCTGTGTGCTATAGAACTAATTGAAGTAGCAGAAGTGGCAGCTGTAAATCCACAGGAAGATGGCAGTTTGCACCCAGCACTGCTGAGTTAGCGGGTAACTGTCAGCCTGTTCCTGCAATCTGCTCTCGAGGACTACGGTACAGGCACACAATGTCCAAAAAAATACAGCGAGTAGGCTAATGATCCTATTAACCACTTTGCTGCACCAATTTGGCTGTTTTTCCAGTTTCCTTGTTGAATTTCATTATATATTTCACCGTTCCAGTAAAAAGTCCAGCATGAGACACGCTCGCTTGTAAGCCACTGACGTTGGGGAGTGAAGCCCCTTCTCGGTCAAATTAACACAAAAATGATTTTTCTTTTTGCAATCCGATATATTTCTCCATTTTTTCCCATTGTTTCATTTTTCTTCCTCAGTGAAAAAGAACTTTTACCAACTGTTAATGCTGGTATTTAAAGCAATGACATTTCCCTCTTCGGGATGTAACATTTTCCATAATCCATGCCACTGGGAGGGGGCACGCCTGGAGCTTTAGGTGTGTGGGTTAAAGTACATCTTCATCCGTGCCAGGAAGGTTGCTGTGCCACACGTGTGGCCCGCAGCTCATCAGGGCACCGCTGCTGATTGCACTAATTGGTGATTACAAAAGGAGGAAGGTGTTTAAAGTAGCATGTCCTGGTATTACTGCATAATCCAGGCACATGGCACATCGGGACTCCAGAGCGTCTTGGAGCATTACCCATGCTTCCATCCTCGTTTGTTCCTTGGGGGGAAACAGAAGGTTTAGAAACCTTGCAATAGAACAGAATGGAGTGAAACAGAATAGGATAGGTTAGGACAGGATACGATACGACATGACACAACGTAACACAACATGACATAAGCGTAACATAAAAATATAACACAATATAACACACAACACAGATGTGATAATGATACAGCGTAATAATACGCATAATAGCAACAATAAAATAATTATGCCAGGCATCAATGCTTTGGCACAAAAGCCATGTTTCCTGCCAACCCCGTGCCCCCACTGGCCGTGCCCAGCTCCACCCCAGCGTTGCTGGGATCCCCCATCTCCCTCCCTTCCACCCAGCACTGGGAGCAGAGGGAGCCTCAGGGCTGGGCTGTGCTCACCACAGGCCCTGCTGCATTAGGAGCCCAGCACGTCTGCCTGGCTGCCATGTGACGCACCGCGAGCCACCAGCATTTGTTGTCTTAATACACAAATACTTGGGGACCCAGCTGATAAGGGACAAACTGTTCTGAATCTGCTGAACTACACGCTTAGGGTGGCATGGACCCCGGCGATATTGAAAATCAATAGTCACGTGGCAGTTTAAAGGTTAGAGGTCTCCTGAATTAACTTTCTAGTACTAAATTACCAGCCCTCAGTAATTTTCTTTCTTTTTTTTGGGGGGGGTGGAGAGGGGTTTGTTTATTTCTTTCTCTCTCTTCATTCTGAAAGCAATGGGAAGATGCACTGGCTTTAACACTTAGCTAAGGTCTGCCTAGGAGCAACAGGAGAAAATAGCAAAACTTGTTAATATTTTACCTGATAATACAGATATTAAGGTAATTCTCAAAAGACCATTTAGGAAAGCATCAGATATTTGCTGCCTAAGTTGGTCTTCTTCAGAAGGGTTTGCTGCCAGCTAGGTTGCCAGGTGGAATGGTCAAAAATATCATGCAGTTAAAGATGCTCAAAAGCTAATGCTTCTGCTGCTGCCTTGACAGCTAACACCATGGCTGCAGGTGCTTTGGGCACCTGGGAGATTTTCTGGGGGAGAATTGGGTGGATTGGGCACTAGCAATCTGCAGGAAGCAGACCTCCAGCTGTGGCCAGGAGCAGTGCTGGGGGCTGGGATCAGAGGGCTTTGCAGGGCTCCCCAGATGGACCCTGGGCAGGAGCCTCAGGTTTTCACAGAATCACAGAGAAGTCTGGGTTAGAAGGAACCTCAAAGCCCATCCAGCTCCAAGCCCTGCTGTGGGCAGGGAGACCTGCACTGAGTCCAGGCTGACGAAAGCCCCAGCAAAGACCCTGGAATGCCCATCCTGGGTGAGCACATTTAAGAAAGAGCTGGAGCAGCAGGCACACCAAACCCGACAACCACACTGAAGAAGAATTTGTGTGCATTAAACAGACACACTTGGATTCATGCAGAAATAAAATTCAAAATATGAAAAGAGTACCTGAGGTTACCATTCAGCTCTAATTACTGGAGTAAACTAAACACCTCAAAAAAATAAAAAAAGTCACAAACGCCGAATCTCTTGTTTAAAAAACAAATTGTGAACTTAACCTTTTCAGCTCTGGCATTTCCAGGCGTTCTAAGTGTCAGATTCATCGCTGCCACTGACACGTGCAACTTGTGTTTATTGACACGTGCCTCCCTGCCCCAGTGCTGGATGGAAGCGGGAGGGCTGCAGGCACAATGCCACCCCATACTGAACCCTGAACCTATGAGGCAAGTGGAATTGTGCCCAAGGAGGCTGTGGATGCCCCATCCCTGCAGGCATCCAAGGCCAGGCTGGATGTGGCTCTGGGCAGCCTGGGCTGCTGGTTGGTGACCTGCACACAGCAGGGGGTTGGAGCTGGATGAGCACTGTGCTCCTGTGCAACCCGGGCCGTTCTATGATATGATAACAACCCAAAACAAACAGCAACAAAGACCAAGCCATAGCTAATGAAATAAAACCCACTGCTAAGCATCTGTTTGGACTGCATCTAAGGCAACACTTAAGCACAGACAAAATTTCACCCACTTACAAAGCTCTGCTCACTTCATATGGGACTCACGTACGCACAAATTCTCACATAAACGGGGTTGTATTGAGGTATAAACTGGAAACATCTTCCTCTGTTCATCTGAGATTTCTCCTATCATAAACTTTTGATTAGATGGTGTATATGTTAAACTACAGATAAAAGTTCCTACTGGAGTTTTTCCTCTGTTAACGGTATGTATATAAACCCACACACTGCTGATGGGCACAGGAGGAGCACATGCTGTTATTTTTTGTGTAAAAAAAAAGCTAGAACTTTAAAGCCATCATTTTACAGTCTAGCTTGAATGAGTATTTTCTGCTTCACAAATAGGCAAAATACTCCTATAGGAAACGTTGAAGATTTGTTTTTTATAACCATCATTCTTAACTAGTGCACAATTATGTTTATTTCTATCAGCAATCTTATTAATTCCCATACTACTTCTGGACCACGCTCGCACCACAGAAATGATTTTAATTGAACATTTATTAAAACAAATGCCTTGTCAGGACATACCCTCTCCATCTGGCCGCACTGGACGGGCATTATTTCCTGGATGTGTCTGCTTTATGCAACGTCTTCTCACACAGATCTCACTGACCAGCAGAGATCATGATTAGATTGTTGTGGGTTTTGTTCCACAGCCTTTTCTGCCACAGCCCTTCTTGTCTCGCTGCCATCAGCTCATACGCACACACGCAGGACTCTTCCTCTTCTGCTGCACACAGTACGTCTTCTTCTGGAAGCACACCATTAGCCACAGATCTGACAAAAGGCAGAGATCCTCTGTAAATAACCTCCCTGCAAGGTTGCATGGCCTGCATCTTTTCTTTTTTTTACTTTTTCTTTCATTGTTTTTCTTTTTCTTCTGCACATGCACGCTCACAATCACAGAGATAAGAGTTTGGGTATGAAATAAAATTTGAATTGAGTTCCCAGCATTACATTTAAGCCCTTAAAAATAAAATAAGAGAATCTTTCTCCCCTCTCCCTCCCTAAAACCGTCACCTGCTGACAAGCAGATTCCTAGCACTATAAGGACCTTTCCCAGCACACTTGCTCGCTTAGCAGCCAAACATCATTTTTATTGCTGGCATCACAAACAAACACAAAACAAATTCTGAGATGCTCAGAATTCAAAAAATGGCAGCATTGTGCAGTTAATCCTCTATTCACAGTTATATCCAAGTACTGTGCTGTTATTTTGACTGTGATTCATCTTAATGAAAGCCACTGCTTTTACAGCTTATCTCCTTCAACCCCAAACTGATGCACCCGCTTCCCTCTCCAGCCAGACTGTGGGAGATTCAAAGCTGTTTGGTCACACACCACAGCAAGTGGAGCTCCTCAAAACTCTAGAATTAGCTTAGTATTTACTGAACTGGTTGTTTGTTGTATATTTTTAATCAAAAGCCCATGTAGTCTCTGTAACACTAACTGCAAAGAGTCCATCACATTCAACCTTTACATTTCCATTCCATTATCTGGTTGTTTTTCACTTTTTCCTTGGCAGCTTTGGGCACAAACTTCATTATCATCTCCTGGATGACAATGTACTGTTTTTAGCAGTTCTGTTTTGTGTAGAAGCCCCTTGAGACAACCAGGAGCTCCTAAGCAGGGTCACGTAGTGCCCACAAATGCTTGTACAAGAGTAAGGAGCACCCAACATTTGTACTTCCAGTGGCACTATAATTCTGGTGGGCACTGTGTGCCACATGGATGCAGCCCAGCAGCTTCCAGAGGTCTCCTCCATTGAGATACTGGAGTGCTTGCAGCCTTCATCACAATGTTCAAAGCAGGTCCAGTGCAGGACGTGGAGCATCTGAATCCCTTGGTGTCCATTTCTCGTGTTGTTTTCTGGTTTTAGAGCTCTTTTATTGACATGACCCTTCTGCCAGTGTGCAGAGATACTTAGTATCAAAATGATATTGTGAGTCAGCTCATTATCTTTAATGCGGACATCAAAGTCGCATCTTAATGGCCATAAGATTATGCATGCTTTGAAACAAACATGCATAAATTATCTGAGGACTTCAAATAATGGCAAGGAAAATAACAAAGATTCTCCCTTATTTTCCCTTCACAGGAGCTCTGACTTGCTAAGGAGCACTACCCTGGGAAGCTCCCTCTGCAGTTTCCTTTCTTTGGGCTAGAATGGCAACGTGTTAGAAAGGTTTGGTTTGGGACGCAGCTCATTCCTACCTTTAACTAAGCTGCAATTTCAGCCATCTTGATTAGACAATTTCTCAAAATATGGATTTATCTTCAAAAACGAACACCAACACAACACATGGTTGCGGTTCTTTGCAGGTGGAAAATCAAAGTCAGATTTAAAAGAAGTTTACTGAAAGATTCAACTAAGGCCAACTGATTCCATACCATAAGGTGCAGTGTAACTACGTGACATTTCTGAAGACTGAAGAAGCTTTCATGGGCTTGTAAACCTTTGCAGATTACTGGGATGCTGTAGGCCCAAAAGGAGGAAGAAAAGCTGAAATCCAGAGGTCACAGGACAGGACTGATGCTCCCCATTGCTTCCAAATGCTTAGTTTAAGCCAAATAGCAACCACGTGCAGAAGGCAACTCAAATAACAGAGATGCTGGCATGCAGGTGTAAGATGTGAAAATAACTTCCCAAAAAACTCGTTGTGAAGAATATCTCATAAAAACTTCATCCAAACTCAGAGATTTGATAAGGACCAGAATTAACCACCAACAATTACCAGGTGATACAGAAGTAAAATTGGGAGAAAATTATATCCAGTTTCAGCCTGCGTACGGCCAACACTTGAATCACAAAATCTGCTGCCCTGTTTTCTGAACTGAAAAAACCTCCTGCTTTAAAGATTGGACAGAAAAAGGAAACTTGCAATGAAAGTCAAGTTGTGAGAAAAGCGAATCCACAAGGCATCCCTGGGGAGTGGAGGGAGCAGAAAAATGTGACCATCATGTACTCACATGTCAAGAACAGATGATCTGCCCATTGTAATTAAAGAGACAGAAACGTACAGAAATCTCAGGCAGTGAGGAGATGCCAGGAGGCTTCAATGGAGTGGTGGCTCCTTGCTCAGACAGTGGGAGCTGAGGAATCAGAAGGAGCTGGTGGGTGGCAGGGACAGCCATTCTGAGCTGACAGAGCTACCCAAGACCTGTGCTCAACCTGCGATTAATCACACGCACACAAAGCCCCGGCTGCACCCAGCAGCCATCCTGAGTGTCACAAACCTCACAATTGGAGCGAGACAACAGCAAGTTAAATTTCTGGATCACTGTCACTGTGTCACGCCAGGGAACGGTCAACGATGGGAGTAATTCGAATGGCAATGTCAGTTCTCACAACCTGAGGTTTGAGGGAAGTGCCCTGCTATCATCCAGCAGCTCTGTCACACTGCTCAGCCCCACTCCTGGCCCCATCCCACTCCTTCAAAACCAAAACCAAAACCAGAAACAGGCATCAAAAGCTGGAATAATCTGACGTTGAGCTCCTGACAGGTATTGGCTGAGTGAGGGAATTCAGGTCTGGTCAGCACATCGTACTTTGGAAAACCTGCAGAAGTTGCTACGTAAGCTTGTGCACATCTTGTATCACACCTGTGCTAGATTCAATCAATCCAAATGGTGTACAAAAAAATAAAAACACAACTGGCTGTGCAAACGTGCAAGAGTTTTGCCTCATACCTGTCCCTCAGTAACACCTCCACAGTACTTTTTCTTTGCATTCGAGAGATCGACTCGGCATCCAAAGCACAGCTCACACACTGACTTACCCAGAGCGATACAGAAGGAAGCAGTAGCATGTAGCTATCAAGATGGGGAGCTCCCAAATGCCTGACTTCAATCTGTTAAATACCAATTCACACCGTGCTGACTCAGAAGCATCCAAACGCAATATTCTGCCAATTTAACTAAATCACACCTGTTGTTAACATAGCCTAACTGCACGCTCAGATCTCACATAAAAGCAAAGGCAAGTAAAAGCAAGAAAGCCCAGCTGAGAGTCCGCTGGCTTCCAGAAGGATAGAATAGAAGGAAAGGGAGAGTGGGAATTTCTTTTGGAACAAGGAGAGATAATGGGGCTAAGAGAGCCTCTCTTGCTTTGGGAGAATGGCAGGCGCTGTTCTTGGTGGTGCTGGGGTGTCTCCTGCTCCAGCACACAGGTTGTCCTGTTTATTTACTCAAAATCTTCTTGTTCAGAACAAGAGATGTGACAGCAGGATGTTGGGCCTTCCTCACTGTTCTCTTCACTGGGAATGGCAAAGAAGCCAAGATGCTGCTTACATGTTGCCCAAAGTGCCACTGACTTTGGAGTACCTACAAGCAAAGTGAAGCAGAAGTACCTTTGTTATTTTTAGTTTGAAAGAAGTGGCTCACTGAGTCAGTAAACATGTATCTATTGATATTATTATTTTCTTATTTTTACATCAAACACAAATACAGTGGGAGAAAAATACTTCTGCGGAAATGTGAAAGGAAAGAAATGGAAAACAAGCCAAATTTAGATTTTGCCTGCAGGATAATTGACAAACCAAGAAGCTTTCCTGGCTTCAAAACAGCTACTTAGATCACAGGTGGCTGTACTCTTAAAGGATAAAAAGCAAAGCTATCTCTTTTTATGGTATCCTTTTCAGGCATTCTCCTCTGTCACAGCCACCAGGCTTTTATGAGTGCCCAGGCAGAAGAAGCTGGATCCTGTTGCAACACTCTGTTGGACTATAAACCAATGATATTTGCTTTACCTGTGCACTATCTTCCATGGAACAAAACAACATTTACATCTGGGATCAATTTGCTTGAAATTAAAGTGCAGCTTTTATATCTCTTCTGCATCAGAAGTATAGTGTTAAGGCTATAACATACAGACAGTTACACATTACTTTGCATTGTAATATTTAGATTTGTGTCATTTTCTATCTGAAGTAAAAAGCGTCTTTAAATAAATGAGTGATCTTACACTACATATTTTATGGGCTGTGTACTCAGCAAGATACATCTGCATTTGTATCGTGCATAAACTCAACTCCAATTTAAAACTATGTATTTAGACCTTGAATTTTAATGCTTAAACTATAATGCAGTGTGGGGATAATTTAGACTATGGCACAGGAAAGTTCTGCTTTGTTTGAACCCAGCGCTCTGCAACCTCTTGGCAGGAGGTGAAGGCAGCTCCCACCTCATCACCTGGTGTCACCAAGCCCTCCAACCATGGTTGAGATTCAGAGCTGCATGGCGCACTCCAGGATGGCCACCACCACCATCCTGGTGATCCAGGAGGTTTGTGCAATGCTGTGCTCACCAGAACATCAGGACGTAAGCCTCAATTTCCAGCAGCGTCTGGCTGTGCTGCTGGTGCCTTGGGACCTTTAGTGGGACTTCAGCAAGGGACCTGCCCATGAATCATAGAATGGCCTGGGTTGCAAAGGAGCACAGTGCTCATCCAGTTCCAACCCCCTGCTGTGTGCAGGTCACCAACCAGCAGCCCAGGCTGCCCAGAGCCACATCCAGCCTGGCCTTGAATGCCTGCAGGGATGGGGCATCCACAGCCTCCTTGGGCAACCTGTGCCAGTGCCTCACCACCCTCTGAGTGAAAAACTTCCTCTTAATATACAACCTAAACCTCTCCTGTCTCAGTTTAAAACCATTCCCCCTTGTCCTATCACTATCCGTTCTCACATCCCCTCCTGTTTATACACTCCCTTCAAATATTGGAAGGTGTTCCCCACTGCGACAGTGCCTAATGGGGAGTGCACAAACAGCAAGTCTCAGAT